CAGGGATTTTCTTTTTCCTTTTGTTCACTGTTCCATCCACAGAGCCTAGAATAATACCTACACATAGTGGGCATTGAGTGAATATTTGTTGGGTGGACAGATTATCTCCCTGGCATGAGTTTGGAATCAGATAGTCGCTGTTCTGTCACCAGTTACCAGATGTAGCTTAGGTCAGCTACACCACAGTCACCAGGAAAACGTGCCACGGAGACATAGTCCCAGGCCTATTTTTACAGTATTCTGGCTCAATAAGTTCACAGTTAGGCAGTCATAAAGGGCTTTGTTAAGTATATCCTGCAAAATCTACCCCTTGAGAAAAGGCCATATTTGTAAAATGTTGCAAAACATTTGACTTTTTCATACTAATATTCATACCTATTCATACAGTATAAAATAGAAACTCATGGTAATTCAGCTGTAGCTGGACTAGGCCACCGTATTTCCGAAAGATGGGTAGTTATCAGCTAGGAGCCATCTTGTCCCATTCCCTGGAGGGATTTAGCAGTTTCTGGAAAATGTTTGACTGGGTTGGAAACCTTGTTATAGGCTAGCAGTTATTATGAACCTTGTTCTCATGTGAAGGTAATATTTCAGGCACACAGATTGATTGTGTGTGTGTGTGTGTGTGTGTGTGTGTGTGTGTGTGTGTTAGGGAAGGGTCTGCCGGGTGTTCAGGGTCTCACTACTGGATCGGACTTTGTAGTGATCTGCCTGTTTACAGCCTCCCAAGAGCTGGGATTACAGGCGTGTACCACCACCACGCCCAGTCTCAATTGCGCAATCAGCAGGGTAGGCCTGGGGATCAAACCCCAGACCCCTGAGCCTGCTTGCAGGTGCTTTAATCCACGGAGCTATTTGGCCGGCCCTTGCTTTAGAACTTCCCATCGGATCAGGGCACTTGCAGTAGGCCTGCCTTTTATAGCATACTCAGCTGGTTGGTTGGCTGGTTGGTTTTGAGATGGAATACTGTGAGTTCAGGCTGGCCTCGAGCTCAGGTTAGCCCACAGTGGCCTCAGAGTCACAGTGATCCTCCTGCCTCGGCCTCCCAAGAGCTGGGATGACAAGCATGCACCACCACACCTGGCTGGGTATTTTTATTAATTTTAAACTACTTGAAGAAATAATTTTTCAGAGCTCTTTGCTATAGTAATATATGTTCTATAGTCTCTTTTTTATTTTTCCTTTGTTTAATGGACAAGTAATTATTATGTCTGGGATATAATAGAGTATCTTGGTATGTAGTGGCACTGCAAAATATTTAAATCATGCTAATAAATTTGGTGATTCACACACTTTTTTGTGGGAAAAATATTTTAAAATCTTTTTTTACCAGTTTTGAAGTCAAAATAGTTTTGATGCATAGTCAAAATTCCCTATGATAGGTTGATAAAGCTTATTCCCAAGTGAAATTTTATAGCTTTGATCAAAATCTCCTTTCTCAGAAGTAGTCAGTAATCTTCCCAGTGCCTGGGGAAAACACTGTTTAAACTGTGATCATTGTGAAAGTAGAGGAGCCTTTATATTTTGAGGGTCTGGAATTCTCCATGCCTTACAATTGCAGATGAGTGATATGAGTTGTAAAAATAAATGAATATTTAAGTTTTAAAAAGTTATTACAATGAAGGACACATTGCCATTCACTTCACTCAGAACACTCTCCTGACTCCAAACACACTTAGCCATCATCACTGCCACTTTCTGAGGCAGCTCTGGAAGTCCTCGCACAGGAGTGTTTTTATTTGCCCTGTGGCAGCTGCCCGTGTCCTGAGCCCATTCAGACGTTCGCCTTTCATGATCACTGTGACTTTGGGAAGAGCCACGCAGTGCTGGATCTGTGAAGAGGTGATGGGAACGCTCAGCAGCATCTGCCAGCCTGCCTCGCCGCTGGATGGCGCCTGGCAGCACCATTCACTGCCTTTTTTTTTTTTTTTATCACATCTTATAAAGACGCCAAAAAAAAGGGAGCTACCTCAAGAAATCACGAGTACAATGCGATGTGTTTCTAGCAAGGGGGACTACAGTATTTTGAGTGGGATTAATGGCAGTGTGTCTACTACTATAATAATAAAAAAAAAAGTTTAATTGTATGTTCACCGTGTATTTTGATCGCAGTTGTAAACAGGACAACTAAAGGCCAAAAGTCTTTATGACATTTTTGTAAAGAGGTGTCTAGCATGAAAAAAGCTTTAAATCAGTAAATCAGAGACTTTTCCATAGTTATTTTCCCAAAGAAAATTGCAACCTAAAATTTAGAAATCATATTTTAAGTCACTTTTGTACATATAGTACTACCTAAAGAAGTTAGGTTATGAAAATTTTGCCAATCCTGTGTCGTGTAATGACTTACACACTTGTTTTTATAGATACAGGAACTTTCCTGTGGTGGAAGCAAGTTGGCGAATGGTGTACGATGAGAGGCCATACTTATGTAATTTCTTAGGAACTGTTTATAAAAATTCGTCTAGACAGGAACTGATGAACATTTTGAAACAAGATGGGAATGACAAACTCTGTCGCATTACAGCAAGAGAACAGTAAGTTCTTTGTTTTCTTCATGTCTGCTTTGTTCTCCAGTCTCAGAGTAGCTCTATACAGAGCACAGAAGGTTTTAAAGAGACAGTGTTAGCTCCATTTATACCATTCTTTCCCCAGAAGATACACTGGTGATTAAAGCTGTGAGGAGACCCTGGCTTTATCCATGCTCACAGAGTGAAGGGAGCGCTGGGGGCTGACCCCAAGGTCTTTACACTGAGCTACAGCTCATTTCATTTCTTGCTTTGAGACAGAATCTCGCTGAGTTGCCCAGGCTGAGCTCAAGCTTGTGGTCCTTGTGTTTAGTTTCCCAGAGTGTCAGGATTGTAGGTGTGCACCTTCATACCCAGCTTAATTTTTTTTTAATCATAGAAGATACTCTGTTCTATGTGTAACTCCTAACTCTATTGTTAACATAATCATTTTATTCACCCAATATATATTAAATGTCTGGTGTATACTAGAAACACTTTAATCTGTGGTAAGTACAACAGTAACAAAACAAGGTCTTTGCCCTGCTGGCACTTACATGTTTACTGAAGGAGGCAAACAAGTGAGATGTGTCAGAAAGGGAAATGCACCAGGAAAAAGAACTGAAGCTGAAGAAGGGCATGGAGAGGAGTGGGGCTGAGGATGAAGCTCTTGATGTTTTCAAATGGAAAGGAAGCTGTTAGAAGCTTACATCTAAGCACAGTGCTGAGGAAGGTACAAGGGTGAGACCTAGGTTTCTTTCCAGGCCAAGGAGAGAGCGTTGCAAAGGCCTTCGTGCAGGTGTGCCCACCACATGAGAGGCCACTGTGTCCACTGTGGAGTACATGGGCCGCCACCTCACACCAGTGCGTGGTAGGGGCAGACTCTTGCTCTCATACCACCCTCTTTCCACTGAGCCTGAGATCAGTGGGCATCCTATTGCCTACACCCCCAATTTTGCATGTCATGCCTGCAGGCAACACTGCCATTACTCTTATCCTCTGAAGTCGCAGTCTGATCTTCGTGCTCATCCCCTTGATTCCTTGAGGAGCAACACTCCTGGTACACTCACCCTGTCTCACACTAGGTTGGTCTTAATTTTGGGTGACTGACAAATCTAGGCTTGGATCTAGTTCTCCTGTCACTGTGGTCTATCATTTCTTTTAACTGCTCTCTAGTGAGCTGACCTCAGGCTTTTCCCATCATGGTCGTTTCCTAGGTCTTTTCATTAGGCATAGGTGTCTTCTCAACAGGACCTTAAATTCCAGCATGTCTCTGTAGCCACATATCTTGTACTTCCAACTCATTCCCTGTAATAAGCAGACTTGCATAATTCAGCTGGGCTTTACCATCCATTGCTCTTACCACCCTGTTGTTTTCTTCCAGTCCTCCCTCCACTTTTTGTTTGCTCAAATTTTATAGTCAGCCTTGGCTGCTTGTGCACTCAGTGCCCTAATTCCCTAACCTAGCAAAGACTGGCTCCAGTTAAATCCAGCTCTGCCTACTCCCTGCTGACACCCAGGCACCTGAGCACAGCCTGATTTAATTACCTGACGGAGCCTGAAATGCCCTGTAGTCCTACGTTCCCCTCAGCTGTGTCTCTCTCACTCCCTGGAGGATGGTTTCATGCCTTTTCTCTCCTGAACTCTTAACACCTCTTCTAGGCTGTTACTTTTTGATCTTCTGCTTATTTTTTTTTTTTTTTTTATCTTCTGCTTATTTCACTGAGAAAATAGAAATAGACCCTCTGTCTGGCTTTCTGACCAACTTCTAGGTCTGCCCTTGCCTTGTGCAGTCTGTTCTCAATACAACCTTGATGAAACCTGGGTCAGATCACACTTTGAGCACAGCCCTGGAGCCCGCAGACCTTACTTCTCCCTGTCCCCTTCGTGCCTTGGCTTCAGCCTCCCAGCCTCCCTCCTGCTCTGCGCTTGCTCTCCCGAGATCTGCTCGACCTGCTCCTTCCCTCCACCTGTCTGTGCTCACAGACCACTGAGTGAAATGGGCCCTGGTCGCCTGTTCCAAATCACAGCCCTGCGCCAGCCTCTGCAATTCTCTCCCGTTTTTCTGTTTTATCTTTCTGTATGACATTTAACACCTTTAGAAAACTTACTAATTTGATTAGAACCAGAATATAAGTTTCTTTGTTTTTTGTTTGAAACCAGGGATTGAACTCAGGCCCTTGCGCTTGCCAAGGAAGCACTTATTCTACTGAGCCATCTCCCCGGCCTCCAGAATATAAGTTGCATACAGAGAAAAAAGGACCAGACATTGAGAAAATAAGTGTTGAATTAATGTTTATTCAGGAATTTAATGAGTACCACCATATTTTTAAAATATGTGGCTGTAATGTTCAAATTTGAAATATAAAATATTTTTTTAAATCTGTGTAGCTGTCATCTCTATGATGTTTTTGCCCTTTCCTGTAACTGTCATTAAAAGATAAAATACCTCTTTTCACAAAAAAATGCGCTCAGTAAAATCTACAATTATTTTCTCTGATTTTCTAGGTGGCAGCCTCAAGAAACAAACGAAAGTCTTAGGAATTACCGGGACACTTTGCTTCGGAGTGACCTCACACTGTGCCCCGCAGGAGTCAACACAGAGTGTTACAGAATATATGAGGCCTGCTCCTACGGCTCTGTTCCGGTGGTGGAAGACGTGATGACCCCTGGCGCCTGCGGAAACACATCTGCTCAGCACAGCGCCCCCCTGCGGCTGCTCAAGGCCATGGGCGCGCCCTTCATCTTTGTTAAGAACTGGAAGGAACTTCCTGCTATTTTAGAAAAAGAGAAAACTATAAATTTACAAGAAAAGATTGAAAGAAGAAAAATACTACTTCAGTGGTATCAACGCTTCAAAACAGAACTAAAAGTGAAATTTACTAATATTTTAGAAAGTTCATTTTTAATGAATAATAAAAGTTAGCTTGATTATCTTTAAAAAAAAAAAAAAAAACAGGTTTTCACTATGTAATTCAGGCTGACCTTGAACTCACTGTGTAGCCCAGGCTGACTTCAAGCTCATGGTGGTTCTCCTCATCCTCCGGAGTGCCCAGCTAATCTTCTGAGATAGATGTGCTTTTTTAAAATCGTTTCTAATACAAGATGTGTGAATGTGTATGTGTGTCTCGGTGTGTCTATGTTTATAAACATTCTTTAAGGCATCCTGGGAAATGCTGGATTATATATATGACATTGACCAAGTGCTGCCTTTATTAGACTAATCCTGTAGCTAAAAATGAGGACAGAATGTACTCAGGTTCTTTCTACCAACCTGAATAATATTATCAACTATCCTCACCCATTCAAACCTTCTTTATGGAATGGTGGTGACTAGGAGTTGAAGCATTAGGGTAGGTAGCTTTAAGAATCAATACTAGTCAAAGAAGACAATTTTTTGTTGTTTTAAAGAGAAAAATTAAAAAAGACAAGGATATAGAATTTCAAAATAAATTAATAGTGGTTAATGTATTGCGTATTGTAGAAAACAAAATTTCAGTTTGGAAGAATAATAAGCTCTGTTGTGCAACATGATGACTGTAATAGCAGTATAGCCTTAAAATGCTAAGAACGACTATGATGCGATAACTGTGAGCTACAGTGGTACGTATGTTAATAAGCTAGATATGTTCTATCCCGTGTCAAGCATGGTGGTGCACACCTGTAAGGCCAGCCGTATGGGAGGCTGAGGCCTGATAATGGCAGGTTCCGGGACATCCTGGGGAATACAGTGAGGATTTTTTTCAAAAAGGGGTAGAGATACAGCTTAGTGGCAGACCACTTGCCTAGCACACAGGAAGTCCTGGGTTCCCTTCCCAGTGCAAGAAACACGTTTCATCAATCTCAATGTAACTGAAATACTGGCAGATTGCTGAGAGAAGGTAAAATTTGACTTTGTTGTCCAAAACATGCAGAATCTGGTATTTAATCTTTTACAAAACATCAAACTGGTATTTAATCTTTTAAGTAGACTGGTTTCTGTGGTCTATCTTGCTTTGAACAGATTTGAATGGCTTTAAACATATCTTTTTAGCTTTCTGAGATGAAAATGAAAAACACAGTTGAACTGGGTCGGTCTTTCAGCAGTGCAGTCAAGAGGTAGAAAAGATGAAAGAAGCCTTTATTAACTCCAAAGACATGGAGAGGATCAAGGGCAGATGGGAAAAGCCTCTCGCCTGAGACAAAGAAAGCTAGACTTTCATGGACTTTTGCTAGGGGTGGAGTTTGAGGGGCAGTTTTAATTACATGTAGAGAGCTGATTGGGATCTGTCCTGTGTGTTCAGGAAAGGTGAGAGAAAATTGTATCCAGGGCTGGAGTGGGGAAGGAGGAGGTAATCATTAGGAAAATAAGCTGTTGTGCTAAGCGCTTCAGCCACGTTGGATGACCACCATAATAATTCACCAGTTTGTACTAGGGCCAGTGCCTATCAGAACAGAATTTCCGGGAACACCCACACTGACATTTTAGTTTTAAGAACCACACAAAGAAAAGGAGTTCCCCTGCCAGCCTTCAGGGCCTCCCTCAACCACCACCCCACCTTGGCACTGGCTCCCTAACCCTTTTGCAGATGGTGCAGATCCAGCCTAGATTTTTAAACTATCTCTCATTGATTTTTTTCCTTTATTGATAAACTCTTCTTTTGCAATCTGGTATTAGAGATGTTTCCAGTGTTCAAAACCATTAAAAAGTCACTAAAAACAAAACAGGGCCCATAATAGTGAAACATTAACTCAGACCAGGCCTCAAAACTCAGCTGAGGTTGTATTCATGCAACCTTAGCTCATTTGCTAAAATTCTAGCAGGGGCTGGTTTCAGCTGCATCGAAGTTTATTGCACGCCGGCTCTGCTGTTCATCTTGTCTTGGTTCAGTTTCTGCTGTTTTCTCCCTAATGGATTCTTTTGCATCCATTGTAATGTTTTGTTTTAAAGCATGAAGGTATTATGCACCTTGTGTGCTGCATTGTTTAACAGCCAGTGCAGTTTATACCCAAGGAGAGTCCAAACTCCCGTCACCCTCCTTCACCTTGATCGTGACCTCCCTGTACCTCAGTGGCTTACAACACCAAACACTGTGCTTACTTATGTTACCCTGAGGTTGCTTATCAGCTGCAACTCTGAAGGGTTGATACAGGGAAACCTCCAAATGACATGGGTAGAAAAACTGATCTCCCAACCTAAAAGGTACCTGGGATGAGTTCGTGTTCTCTAAAACCAAAGAATGAATTTTAGGAACAAACAGAGGTTATGAGCAGAATATATTTATTGAGAGAAAGAAAGCTCCTGTGTGAGAGAGGAACAGGAGGGAGGCCTGAGCGGGTTGTCCCCAGGAAGCTGCTGCTTCCAAGGAATTTATAAAGGAAAACCATGTGGTGAGGCGGGTCTAAGGTGGTTGAGAAGACATGGGAACTCAAGTAGGCATGAGGTGGGACAAAACTATGGTCAACCAATGAGATTACAAGCACCATTGCTCAGGTAAAATTGATTAAATCCAGTATCAAATGGAGAAGCTTGTCATGTAGCAAGTAGGCATGAATACAGGAGCCGGTCACTTCCTGTTGGGGATTGGGCTAATGACTCATTTGGGCTCTTTCAAGGTGATTGATACCTATTTAGAATATCAATCCCTGATGCCCATCCCTAGAGAAGTATGTAGCTGTATTTCTTCTTTTGTCTTGAGGTGTGACTCATATGGGAGGGTCTGTCTCTTCCAAGTTGCAAAGTCACCTTGTCTTCCATCTTGTCTCCTTGAAGGCCTGACTGCCTATAATATTTCTAACTTAGCTGCGTACAACAGGGTGAGCCACTGGGCTCCACATGTCCTCTCTAGAACCCAAGGTAAAGGAATAGGTACTCACTGGGACATTCCAGATTTGGGGGGGGGGGCAAGAAGGAATGTACTGATATGCTGGGATGAATCACTCCCCCATCTTAAGCTTCTGTGCAGAAATTGTTCCCTATCAATTCTGTTCATGTTCCAGGGGCCAAAGTAGTCACAGGGCCAAACCTGAGCTGAAAGGGATAGTAGTGTATAATGTCTTCTGAGAGAGAAAATCCTGGGATGAATAGTTCAATTTACAACACTCTATTTGGCTGAAGCTTGAACTCTAGTAGACTGGGCACTGACATCCAATGAGCTATTCCCACAGAGTCCAAGTGCGCAGCACAGTTACTCACTGTGCCCGTTAGCCGGGCCTAGCTACAGGGTTCGCTTGGCCAGTGAGATACAGTGCAGTGGGTGTGTTCCATTCAGGCAGAAGCTTAAGCGTCCACCTGCAGTTCATCTCATTCACTTTTTCTGCCTCACTGGTTGTGGGAGTGAGATCAAGAAGGACTCAGTCAGCCTCTTGGGGGAGGGGACAGCTGCCTGACAACGCTTGGAGATCAACTACACAATCCATTGTGTGTAAATCTCTGAGCTTTGAAAGCTGTTTGTTATCACAGCAGTTATCACAGCATAACCTAGCCTGGCCTGACCAAGCATCTGGCCTTCAGGGATGGTTCTCTTGTTATTGTCCCCAAAGGCATTTTTAGAAAACAAAAGGTAGCCACTGTGTCTTGATAAGGGGGCCTGGTTCTGATGCTGAGTGAAAGATCTGAAGTAAGAGATTCACATATTGTCAAAGTATCTCCTTATCATGTTCTTATTAATCACAAAGAAAAAAAGTTTATATGTAAGAATCTGACAAATACCAACTTACCAAGGGATAAATACATCATCAGTAACAATATAAATAAATGCATACCTCCTAACAGGATACACTGAGAAAGACATCATTTCTGTAACAATCCAGGTAAAATTCCTAGGGGGGAAATCTAGCTCTGAGAAAATACTAGAAAGAACCAAATTTTAAAAATGTTATTAAAACTATCATAGTCAAGAGTAGCTAAGATACAGATGAGCAAGAAGTATTCATGACACTCCTGGGGGACGGACATTGTACGTGACTGGGAAATAATGCCCGACTGAACAAGTGGTATGAGGACAACTACCCCATTGGGGAAAAAAATGAGATTAAACCATATCTCACAGTGTACACAAAAATAAATTCTACAGGAATTAAAGATAAACATCTGCTAAGCCAAAGTGTAAGTTACAAAGCCATTAAAATATATACAAGGAAAAATAACATTATACCTTCGAATTGGGGAGAAAACTCTTTTAAAACACATAGGAGACAAAAGCCACAGAGGAAAAGGCAATACTATTGACAAGATCAAAATGCACCATAAGAAGGAAGACCCATCCACAGGTAGGTTTATAGGACTATAATTGACAAAGAATTGGAATTCAGAATGCAAGAATAACTGATTCTAAAAGGAAAAGAAAAACAACCTAATAGAAAACTGAGGGGGCTGGGGAGATGGCTCAGTAGAATAAGCGCTTCCCTTGTAAGAGCAAGGGCCTGAGTTCAATCCCTGGTTCCACAAAAAAAAAAAAAAAAAAAAAAAAAGAAAGAAAACTGAACAAAAGAAACTATGCATAGCCCAGAAGGAAAAGATAAATGGCCACAAATCTCAATAGTAATCAGGAAATTTTTCATGACAGACAGGTCATGTCCAGCCTCCCTTCTTTCCTACTGCCCAGAAGATACTATATTTCCAGAAAGCCAGGCCCCAACCCGTGCTCCCAGCTGCAATACCCTACTTCTCACTATAAATTCATAATCTGGGCCAGCCAAATAGCTCAGCAGATTAAAGCATCTGCTTAGGCAGACACAGGGGCCTGGGGTTCGATCCCCCAGCCAGCTGTGTTGGCCCCACCCATGGGATGTAATGAGATGGGGATTGAGACTGGGCCTGGAGGTGCATGTCTGTAATCCCACCTCTTGGGAGGCTGTAAACAGGATCACTATGAGTCCAATCTAGTAGTGAAACCCTGAACACCCTGTAGACCCTTTCCTAAAATACTAAATAAATAAATAAATAATCAAACATTCATAATTGGAAATGCA